ACAACTGCAGATTTAAGCTTGAAGAACTTAATATTTGCGCGTCTCGAGTTTGGCCTATTTTGTTCAAATGGAGCAAGTTACGCAAATAATGCGGCTGCAGGTAAGAAACCAGAACATAACCCTTTCCTCTTACTCCCATCAATTGGGTACGTCCCCTATTTAATGTGAGATCACTAAAACCCTTCTATTTTCTAATCCCTCCCTTGTCTTTTCCTCTCTCTCTCTCTCTCTCTCTCTCTCTCTCTCTCTCCCAGAGTATCCCTCTTCTCAGAGAACGAATAAATGATGAACCAAGACAAGTCTAGAGTCGACAGGGCTCGGCTGTGGAGTTACACGTTGGCTTTTGGAGATTCAACCGAGATACCAGCGGACGTACCTGCGGGATCCGGGTTTTACCTCCTTCAGAACATAGACGACAGATCGCAGCAGCAATGCCATCTGATCAGTAACGGAGGACCAGGATGTCAAGGGGAGACCTAGACCTGCCGGCGCTCCCCCGACCGTTTCTCGGAGCACCGGCAGGTCGACCGCCCAGCTTCTAGCCTGACCTGTCATGACGTGTCGAACGTTTCTCTCGACGGGTATTCCACGGTGCCAGTGGGAAGGGCATCCTTCCTTAAGGGAGGTTTCTCCATTTGTAGTCGACATTCGTCAATTCCCGCAGACTTCTAGATTCGTTAGTCTCTTTTGTTTTCTTAGTTGGCTTATTGAATAATAAAAATTTCACACACCAGGAACTACGATATTTACTTAAAAGCCGATCGTTATGTTCTTGGTGTGCTAAGATGAAGGGGTCGCTAGCTTGATGATTACACAGGCACGGACATAAAATGCCCAAAAATGACCCAGTGAGTGATTGAAGCGGCTTCAATACTCACTCAGCATGTACTTGGAATATCTACAATAAAATGTTCGGCTATGATCTTGGTATCACGATAGGAGAAAAAATGAAAATTTTGACCGAAGTGAGGAAGAGAATGGAAAATCTCGGCCAGAAGAAAGAACGAATGAACGAGGAAGAAGATGATTATCTGAAAAGGGAAAACAATTACCTACATCTACGTCCATCACCAAGAACCATACCAAGCGTAGGGAAAAAAGGAGTATTCATAAAGAGGGCTCGGAGCATTGGTAAAAATGACAATAAGAACGTAAAACCAGGGATGGTCCATGACGCGTGGGACTGACATCTCTGTCTCATCCCAAGCTTATGCAAATTATTTTCTCCATCTTTAGGCATTTGAGGAATAGAAGGTCATTTGGACCCATCAAATCAATAAAAGATACAAAGGATGTTTCTACCTACCGTAGAAAATGACAAAAGTTTTCAGCTATATCAAATCTTTCCGACTTATTTTGATGGCCTTCGAACTTTCAGGAAAACCTAAAAAACGTAAAATAGTTTTAGTTCCCAAACCCAAAGTTTACGCGTGACTATTCTTTTGTAAACCCCCATGGGAAAGAAAGGTTAGATTTGAAAAGAAATTCCGGGTAAAAGTTTCAAAAATTGAAGTCCAATAGAATTATCAGTAGAGCGTAGTGTTATGGACACTATTGATATATTGAAAATAATATAGCATAATTATAAATTAATGAAAGATATTTATCCGCGCAGCAAACAATATTCAGTAACGCACCCGCTGTAAAGCTCGTGTCTTGCCTTCAAAGAAAGGGAATCGTTCACAAGATAACCATGTAGTTGTGCGATGCTCAGAATTGGAATATCAGTGGTAGAATGTTTCATCCAAGATGGATTCTATAGAACGATATTAATCCCCGAAAGAAGAATTCCTACCATATCTCCAAGGGAGGTGTTACTTATATCTCCAACGTACACGATCCTGATGTTGAAGCACGTGGGGAAAATAAAACAAGGGATGAACAGCTCATCGGGCTAGAAGTCGCATGCTATCTTTTTGGTGGGAGCCAAACTTGTATAATGGCAGACTCAAGGCGCACGATGAGAGGATAGAAGACAAACCTACCCTCGAAGACATGGGAAAAACGAAGGACGAGAATTATGTAATTGCTTATTACGCATCACTTACCTATTCGGGAAAGGAGGTGAAGAACGTAAAGATATCTAAATTTCCTCTCCAAATGCTGGGAGCCTGGTCGTGACTTAAAACATATTTTAGAGGCTCATAAACGTCCATTCATCGGTCAGGCCCGTCAAGGTATCTGCGAGATCCCTAGAAGATCATGGCGTACTCAGTTTTCTCTTACCAGGCTATGTTGATCTCTTTCACCACTTTTTTATCTCACTTCATGAACTCAATGCCCCCTTATCCATAGCTACTCACTAGGGTGCACTGCTTTTATTGTTCACACGTCAAAGATCCGGTCGTCTCTATTCTCTTATTCTTGTCCCAGATGACATCCTTGATTCTAGTTTGTGAGGCCATTGAGACTATAATTGTTTGCCAATGGGTTTTCGAGAAAACATTTGTTCGATGAAGCATATAATTTTATGGTAAAACTGAATTGAGTAGCACCACTCTCACATGAGAACTCTTTGAGAAATAGATTTCCTCAAAGCTAGAGTGTTGATGTCATTTTTAATGGGGCAGATATCATTTTCTTCTCCCAAAGAATGCAAGAAGAATATTTAAATATTTGAGGGTCTGTTGCAACAATAGGAAGAAATATGATGATAAGAAGATGAATGCAACTCTCTGAAGGACACAAATGATCAATCCAATAATAAAATGGAATGATATCACAATGTCTCTTCTTCTCTCACTAGCCTGTGAAGAACCATGTAGTTTTTCAATGAGCATCTGCTTTAAGTATTCAAGTTATCACTCATCGCCCCCTTTCGGTGCTAGACACACCGTGGATGACCATTTTTGCCTTTTTGTGCTTATTGCGTGCAGATTTTGTAAAGATTTTTTCAAAAATGTAAACTCTCATTATTCATCACATTAATGCACATAAGAAGACTCGTCATTAAATGGCTAGGATAACCTAATTCTCACAAAAGATTGGAATTATACTATAACGATGGCGCTAAAACTGAAAGCTTAAATCAAATGGCTGGATCGTTCATTCTGACAATTGGATATCAGTGATCGACCATTCATGGATGCTCAAAATGAGGGATAGTAAGGATCTCGGTTCAAACCCCTACGTTCATTTTGTTGCTTCAATACCTACGGCGATCACTATTCCTTCCACAAAATAGAAACATTCATGCAGATCTTGAACTAATCCATTGAACTCCAAAGTTTAACGCTCGCGCTAGGTGTTCTCCTTCATATCTCTCTCTGTCGAGTAATTGGGAAATGCAGAATGCAATCTATATCTTATATCCACAAAATATACCTGAAAAGTGAATGTTATGTTTGCAAAAAAATCATCATTGTATATTCTTTTTCAGCAACGAGGAAGTTATATTTCATCTCGTTTTCTCCGTCTTGATGCTTGTAAATTGAGGGTATATTGTCACGCGCTGGTCGTGCCAGGGGTGTCACATATATATCGTGAGTCTTACCTCTATGGTTTGGTAGATTATAAAGATATTCATCCATTAGCAGGTGTTCAAATGCTCAGCAATGACTTTAGAAAGGAAAAAAGGAATGATGCTTACTTTACTGGGTCTCTCTTGACTTAGCGAAAAAGAGAAGATGGAAGAGAGTGGCATCTGTTTCCATCTCCATTCTCACTCTTTTTGCGTGTTCCTCGAGAGTCTTCTATTTAATTCATGGGTTCATGATATGTTCCTATGAGTGACTTTTGAACATTCCCAAATTTTCAATAAACTCAGTCGTACTGTCTCAGGCTGAATGTCTAACGTACACAACAAGAAAAGCCCCGGTCAAAGGAACAGAAGACATACTTCCCTAGGATAATGCACACAGAAGCATAAATACGCACGACCGAGTTTCAGAGGTGATCATGAAGAAAAGTCTGAAGTCAACCCATCGAGAATACAGTAAATCTTGAAAACCGTTCCCTTATATACTCTTCTTCCCATACGACACAGAGTAAATGATGGAGAGACGTCTTTAGTTCAAGGGAGCCATGAATTAAAAACAGTGATAGAGCAGATCTACTCACTGAGAACAGTAGAAGCCGGCATGCATTAGAATGAGGTCGCCCACTGCTCTTCCTGTCTCAACTATGAGGTCGCTGTAAATCACACACCAAGACCAGGACAAACAGGGACTTGTCAACAAGACAAACCTAGCTTCATCCTAAGAAGTTATTATTTATTTTACTTTCCACTAAAAAAGGCGCTCGTGGCGTTCATGATCTAGCCCACGAAGCAAAACCCTTATGAAACCAACAAAAAGGGGAGAAAGAAAGGTGAAATTTGTTTCGAAACTCCGGATAGAAACTTCTAAGGGGGCGACCATCACCAAGATGCGTGGAGTTCCAAGTCCTATGCGAGGGAGGGACACGATGTAGGAAGCTCGCCGGAGGGGGAAGAGAAGGGAAAAGACAAAGAGTTGAATAGAGTAGGATAGAGACCCGACCTTGTAGCCCCGTTAGGCTCTGCCTTGCCTCAGCGCCCTCTCCGATCGATCTGAAAAGTTCCTGCGACTGGGTAACGCTGTAATAAAGGTAACAGGCATGATTGCAGAGGGTAATTCCATCATATTAGCGATTGTTGGAGCTCTGTGGCCATTACACTCGTCTTCTTCTTCTTTAATGGAGGTTGGAACAAATAATGAAGAAATCTCCAAGATCTAGATAATGTGGAGGATGGGAGGATCTATATGTTTTTAATCTATGAAATATACGTGTACAATTGAAGGATAAGCTTTTAGCACAAAACGTTCGAGCTGAAAAGAAGAAGAGGAAGAAGAAATTGGACGAAGGATTCCAGCCCTATTGATAGCTAAGAGACATCACACTGCCCTTGTATTCTTCTGAATCAACCACAGACGACGGCAAAGAAGATCTCATCTTGGGTCGATGGAGCAAAAGAAAAACTTCCCTTGCCTTCGCCGTCTGAGGCCAATCTTGCTCTTCTTTTTCTTCTTCTTCTTAGCCGTCTAAATATCCAGCGAATCCGCCATCTCCGATCTCCCGAGCTTTAATTGGAGGGACGCCAGTGGGGGATGCCCTAGCTCCGCGGAGTTTCCGCCTGAGTCATCTTTAGATGTTGAGCAATCCAAGTCAACCCCGAACAACCTCACCGTCTTGGAGGCCCCCTTGCCCTGGACCATAGGAATGGCGAGGGACTCCTCCCCGCTACCTCTGATCCCAAGTTGCACCCCAATTTGCGACGGGCTCACCTCCGATCTCAGGTAGAGCATATACGGATTGTACCCGTATCCCACATGGCGGTGGCGATCGTATAGCCCCATGCCCGACGCCCCTGACGTCGGCAAGGGCGGCACGACGAGGCTGGTCAACGGGACGGCTGACCGAGGGAAGGGCATCACATAGGAGGATAGCTCACGGCGATGGTGGTGGTGATATCCTGGAAGCGGGAGGCGGGGGAAGTGTAGCCCACCGGGGCGGCGCTTCCAGTCGATGAAGAGGCGATGACGGCCCGCCTCACCTACGCCGCGGCCGAAGGAGACGGTGTCGCCGGCGTCTAGGCGCTTTTCCTTAACGAAGCGACTCCAGCCCTTGGTCATGACGTAGCTCTGGCTGCTGTTCCAGTAGGAGTAGCGGAAGCGCCATGGCTTGCCAGTGGGGTCCTCGAAGTTGAGCAAGAGACCCTTCTCGTTGGTGGAGGCGTCGAGTGGGAAGTATCTCTCGGCGTGTTGCTTGGGGATGACCAGGCGGTTAAGCTTTCCCACGTCGCTCGGGGTCACTACCTTGTCGAACATGTGCTCCTTCTCCATGATGGAGGAAGAGGAGGAAGGAGGTGGGAGGGCCAAGGATGGGCGATGGCTGAGTAGCTCGCTGGTGTCTTCTTCTTCTTCATAGTCGTAGTATACTTCTCTTCCTTCATGTATGAACTCCATCGGTGTGGAGATCTTGTTGCCTGGCTTCTCGACGGGGTTATTCAACTGCCAACGGATCACCTCACGGCTCCAGTGAAGACTCTCAGTCTGTCAATATTGGGAGATGAAAGAGAAGCAGAGTGGAGGATTCGATGGGAGAAGGCCTAGAGATGCGCTCGCATGCCCCCAAAGGGAGGAGAGAAAATAGGATAGATCGATCGATCTTGACACAGAGAGAGAGAGAGATAGACTCCTCTTCGACTTCCTACAAGACTACGAGATTAAGGGTTTCCCAATTGGACTGCGATATAGAGAGAGAGACGAGTGTGCCATAGGGTTCAGCGGGGGCAGGTGTTGTGTCTCTCTTCTGGATGCCGGGCCTTCCACAGTGATCTCCGAGCAGTAGGGCATGGAATTGTTTAGCTTCTTCCAGGGGTTACTGTTCCTGGATGGGGAAAGAGAGAGAAACGGATGAGGAAGAGAACTTTGGCTGTAAAGTAGAGAGAGAAAGAGCGAGGGAGAGAGAGAGAGAGAGAGAGAGAGGACTAAAGCATTGTGAAGAGGAAGGATAGGGGGCCCATGAATTATGATCTGCTTGGGACCATGTGAGCTTGTCCTTCCATGTTATTTCTGGGTATACTCAACAATCGATACCCTTTAAAATTGCGTTCGTGTCCTGATTTTGTTTTCAACTCCGCAGCAGACTACCCACAGACGTTACTGCGTACGAATCCTCTTACCCTCCATTAGATTGGCTCGCTGAGTTAACCCCACTTAGGGCCGGTGCAACTTCTGTATATCGAGTAGGTGGTTGAACTGGACCCATCAGCGGACCGTCGGGCGTGGGGAACCTACGCCTGCTAGGGCTGGAGGTGGAGGCCCTCCCGGAGGAGCCTCGTTACCTCGTAGCAACCTCCCCTACCGCCCAAGCAGTAACACTTTGCAGTAGAAAGAGAGTTCTCTGACGGAGGTCCCCAGAGAGAGAGAGAGAGGGAGACAGAGAGAGAGAGAGAGAGAGAGACAGAGACAGAGAGAGAGAGACGGTGTTGTGTAAGGAAATACTGAGATATGCGGACATGAACGCGTACAAAAGAGTGAGCTTGAAGAGCGTAGAAGAGAGGGAGGGAGGGAGAGAGAAGAAAGAGAGACAGAGAGAGAGAGACAGAGAGACAGAGAGAGAGGGGGAGTGTTTTCGTATAAATAAATATTAAGACGCAGACATGCACGCGTACCAAAGAGCGAGGCCATGGACCGTGGGGGAGGGGGCGACGGGAGAGAGGGAGATACTAGAAAGAGGAGAGAGGAGGCGCAAGCGGAAGAAGGAATGGCGGTGGCCTCAGATCCCGCGTTATCTGTACGTTATTCGATCCTCATAGTATCATTGAAACTCTGAGCTGATTCCTTCCTTCACGCTGTGGAACTCGTGAAAGAGGCTAGATCGATTATTTTTGTCCAAGATGGCATCGTTTGGACGTCGTTAGAGGCAGTCTTGTCCCCAGATATTGTAAAAAAGGGAATAAATTGACGCCAGTGAGAACCTAGAAAAAGGATTTTTTCTATGAAGAACATGGCAATGTATGCTTGATCATGTTTCCTGCTTTCTTCTCCCACCGTTCTCACCTCCAAGAGAATCGCCTGGCCGAGTATGATCTGTTGATCGAAATTTCTCTCGGCTATCAGTATTTAATTGATATGTTCTTCACTTTTTCTCAATAATTAGGCGTGATTACGCTGCAAGTCGATCAAAACTCGATTTCAAATTCATAAATGTAAAATGAAGGGAGGGAAGGAGGGAGGGAGGGAGGGAGGGACCGAGCGAGCGAGAGAGAGAGAGAGAGAGAGAGAGAGAGAGAGAGAGTTTGATTCATTGAGATGACGCATGGAGCCAAACCCGACTTTCTATCTTGGGATTCAAAATAAAGATCTGTAGTCAAAGAACTTGCCAGAACCACTGACTATCTGAGCCAGATCTAGCCTTTGGCATGACTCACGTAAATCAGTTTGATGAAGGAGAAGCTTATGAAGACTGGTCCAGCGCGTAGCATTGTGAGCCTAGAGGTCCAAAGCTCATTTTTCCTGTCATATTTCACGACCACTTACATTCCAACCTCATCTCTCTCTCTCTCTCTCTGCCTCTGTCTCCCTCAGAGACCATCCCTCAGAGGCCAGGTTTTGTAAGAGATTGGCCCAACTAGCAAATTTTCTCAGATTTTCCCCGAAACCATGAATGACACGCGACTTGGGTTTCAGTTCGGCGAGGCTAAGGTCAAACCAGCCCTTCGACATCGCTTGGGAACTAATCCTTTCATCTGGGCTGGATTTCCCTTGTTCTGTCCCTCTACATAAGAAAAATAAGTATTATCTCAGATCAGACCAAGCCTAGGCGTAGGTAAGGTCCAGCCCAGAAGCTCAACGTACGTACCATACGCCTCTGATAGCCTAGAAAAACAATTGCAAAACTCTCAATAGATTAAAAGGTAAAAATAATGAAACGAAGTTTATTATAAGGATAACTACTAAACCCTTCTAACCCCTCTCATTAGGCTCCACCTTTTATCTTCATCCTCCCAAATCATGGGTTTGTGGAGGAGGACAATAAAAGGGAGAGACGGAGACTGACTCAGTGTCTGTGTTTACGCAAGTGGGGAACGGGAAAAAGATGAAGGTAAAGAAGCGGGATGTAAGAGCGGTATTCGTTGCAAAGCATGTGGTGAGAAGAAGCGACAGGTACAGCTTGCTTCCACTGTAGCTGATGTCGATCAATATGACTTGCATCTTCTTGTGACATTCAGTGGTGTCAATGGGCCGGGCCGGCTGGAGTGTTTTGAACTTGGTCTACAATATCAAGTCCAGAAAAGAAAAGAGGTCCACAGGTAAGTTACCCGGGACGTCTCTGTGCCTTAAAAGAGCCCGGCGGAGAAGCCCAAAGATCGTTTTCTCACGTCAAGTGGGAGTTCAACACCCACATGAGACTCTCTCTCTCTCTCTCACGGGTTGGAACCCATATTGAATGGGACACGCAACTTAGAAAGTTATGGGCAAATATATTATCAACCAGTTTTTTTGCCTCGAGCCTCGTAAGAGACGCCGAAGCTCGCATTGAGCTCAGCAAGGCCCGGAATGGCCAGGTCAGTCGATATCATAGAAGCATATCAATATACTATCGTCTGTGGAGTGTCATAGATAAGCTCAGACTGAGGACTTGAGAACAATAATTAGGCTTTTGTTTGCCTCACCTACTGTAGGATTAATTTTCTTGGGATGACTGAAAATCAACAGATTCCATCTCTCTCAAGTTCCCAAGAAATAAAAAAAGAAAGGCGGCGACCCAGTGGATCGTTCCCACTGTTTCGTCTCTTGATCTGACACGGCGACGCAAGTCTCCTTCATGTTCGAACGTTTGACCTACTACATAATCATAAACTTGAATTTGATTCGGCTCTGGCGACCTACCACAGAGAATTCTCTATCCCCACCCACCCCCCCGTCTCTCTCTCTCTCTCGCGGTGCAGTTTCTTGATTCTGAAGCCTATCGTCTATCTCTTTATTCGTGAAATCTCAGGGCAAAGACCGCCTCCGTCTTCCCCTTCACTGCTCGAAGGGAAGGACGAGTCTAAGGAGACAAACCCTTATCGTCCGGCAGGGAACTAAAATCTAGTCCCCTCGTTCCTTTTGATGCCTTGGGCTTCCTCTGCCCATGCACTGGAATGATGGCACTGTTCCACTGTTGTACTGTTTCGGCTAGCTTTTATTGCCCCCTTCCCTGTAGCTCGCCAGGGAGAAGAAGGTATCGGTGGGGGTGATAGTGTGGCTGATGAGGCCCCATCAGAAGCGTACGTATGCTACCTAGAATGTGGGCCTCATCTCCCTCTCTGCTCCTCTGCAAGTCCGCTCCCATACGCGTCGATTTGGAGCCTGAAAGCGCAGGGCCTGCATGGTCTCACGTAAGTACCCATCTCCTTCCTATCTTCCTTCGTCAGACGTTCGCATTTCTCTCTCTCTCTCTCTCTCTCTCTCTCAAACACACATAACTATGGTGAAAATAGGCCAGCCAGTCCCAACCTCGCCCAAACCAGTCCCAATCCGTACATATGTTACTTGGGTTGGACCGGGCTTGGGCCCACAGAAAAGCCTGTAAAGCCGCTTTCAGGTCAGATCAGACCCTCAGAGAAAACTGAGCTATTGACTCGTGGGCCAGACCCTCATAAAGTCCACTCCTTTTGGGGCCTTTATTTACCGAGTTTTGACTTCAGGGTCCAAATCTGGTAAAAGTGGATCCATCCCGGTACTGGGCTTTCCGGTCCTTTGACAACCCTCTCCTTGACTAACCCCAGTCAAAGTGGAGATGAGAGCAAAGATAGAGAGAGGGGAAATTCGGCTGTAACTAGGCTGGAATTCTTCGTAGAAAGATCGGGTCCACTGACTGGCCCGAATATTTAAAAATGGGTTGGTCAAACAAATGAGATGACTCAAGGTTTGACAAATCTAGTCGTGTGTTTAGTCAACGGGAGGGAAGTGCGACCGTGAAGAGGGTGTCGTGGAGGCTCGGTCAACGGGTAGATTTTCTTCTATGAGACTCATCTTCCACGCGTCTGTAGATCACAGTAACCTCGAGACAGGTGAGTGAGGAGATGGTGGCCGCAAATCTTAGCTCGACTGATCCGCTTGATCTGCAGAACATAGCGTCGCTGTTCCTCGCCTGGACGCCAGGCCGGGTCTTGCGGCGCCGTCCCTGCCGAAGCCAGGACAAGAAGCTCGCTGGTAGAGAGAGAGAGAGTGAAGAAAGATGAGCAAGAGGGTAACATGCATGTAGGGGTCTTACAGGAAAACGCCTCGAGAGAAAGAGAGAGAGAGAGAGAAAGAGGACGAAAGATGAACAAGAAAGCAACAGATGTGTACAGGTCTAACTAGAAAACGCCAGGAGAGAAATGAGCGAGAGGGGTAACAAACATTTATGCATTGAAAAAACGCCTACAGAGAGCCAAATAGGCACAACGAAGACCCCAGTGCTTGGAGGTAACCAGAATGGTTTAGAAAATACCCCTTAAAAGGAGCGTAGATCTGTAAGTAGCAGACGAGAGAGAGAGAGAGAGAGAAAGAGAGAGCGAATACGGGAAGCAGCATAAAGGGCTAACGCCAAGAGTTAATTTTTTCTCTGAAACCGTTCTTAATTACACATACACAAACCTAGCCACAACAGCCCCCTCCATGGGGACTCTCCCGTGTCTAGAACGAACTATGCACAAACCATATAACATATATCACATTTGATATGAACCTCCACATCAGCAATGCCTTAGTGGCTGAAACATCTCCAGCCCACATAAACAAGCGCCAACACAGGCATCACTGAAAGAATAGCAAATCCTATGCTGTGGAAGCTGAGATGCCTAGGCTTAGGAGCCTCCTTCAGTCGGAGAGGGCCGCCACAGCCTTCATCAGCAACTGCGACCAACCTCCTCCGCCTCAATTCCGGTTCAGTTTGTGGCGATGCTGCCTTCAGAGTGGTGCCCAGGAGGCGGCTCTCGTCAGCTAGCTGGCAGGGCTGCTTTGAAGGCTTCTTCACCTGACGGTGCCCCCCCAAAGAGGAACAGAAGATAAGGTTTATTGATTCAATGACAAACAACATGCCAAAAAAATTTAATTCAATCAGGTTATTGATGATATTGTGCATGATTGGAGCCAATGTAGCATGACTGAGAACCTGAATTTCACTATAAATGCAGTCATGGATGATGCATCTACCTCAGGGCTCGGCGGTGAACAAGATTCGCAATCCTCCAAGCTACTGCTCGCCTCATCATCGCTGTCAAGCAATGATGGCCGAGGTATCTGCAAGCGGATTCTTCTTGCCGCAGTGCCCTGCTGCCAGCTGGGTGAAGGTGCCGGAGTTCCTGTCTGACGGAGCTTGATCTTAATCCCAGTCTCTCCACTTTCACAGGTATAGCTCATAAATTGTTCTTGATTGGTCGATTCCTCGAAACTGGGGGACGAGTCCCCCTGAAGAACATAAATATGCACATCACTTGCTATCTCGGCCTCAACTCTGGTTCCATCGATATCATGCGAAGAATACCCAATCACGGGATTCTTATGTGGCATCTTTATCAGATTATGGGATGAAAATGATAGATCGTACAGATTATCAGGAAATCCCGCATCTTCCTCCAGCCCGGCCTGTTTATTCAGTTTAAAACCAAAAAAGGGGAAAAAACAAAAGTCAGTGATATGCTGCATTCATTCCATAGATAAGATGATGAATTCATGCATCTATTGGCATTGCCAAGGCCTCCTCACCTGCAGGATTAGGTGTTCAGGGAAAGGATCAGGGGACCGGCCATATTCATGCAGCATGTTATGACGAGCACTCTCTAGCCCAGGGTCGATGGGCACATTGTTCACATCATAAAATCCTCCAGACGGAGAATCATCAAGATTAAGTGCAGCATCTATGAACTTAGTAACTTCGTCTGATTCGGAATTTTCGAAGCCAGGCGGGTTCAACTGAGAAGTCTGAGGAAAGTTGTCCGACACTGGAAATTCACCCATTAAAACTGGAGAATTCACTCCTGGAAATTCATCATGATTTAATTCGCGGACTAGAGCATCCAGAAGTGGACCAATCTGCACCAATGAAGAGATCATGACTTGCTGAGTTAAGCATATCTACTGTGAAACTGCTTTCTGCAAGCCAATATTGACAGAAAAGCATATGCTAAAGAGAGGCAGCGCTTGAGGGTGAAGCACCCATTTACATCCGTCAAGCAATAAGCTCTAAACAAAAAAAAAGACAAAGGGATGGGAGGGTTTACAAGTACCATGGTAATGACACTGAATCACTAATAAATACATTCATTGTCACAGCTAAAGGATGAAGATACAATGCAGCCTCAATACAGAATAGAGCTTAGTTAAAAGAATGCAAACACGTACCTGAACAATATAAATATAGAACCAACAGGATATGAGGGGTCCCATACGATAACACTTATGAAAATGAATTCACATCTAGATTTAATTCTTATGTCTCAGCTATTAAATATGTACCTCTGTTCCCATTTCATCCTGACAATATCCGCCATCTGGATTCAGAAAAGCAAATATAGAGTCCACTTCATCATCATGTGGTTGCTTTGTATCGGCAGGATGTGCAGAGAGGCCTTCTTGCATATCTATTTCAGAACTCTTCTGATTTGATGGCATTTCAGACACTTCCCCAGCATCTTCTTCACATTGTGTTTCACATGGAGAAGACTTAGTTGGAGTGGGAGAGAATCCATGTTCTTCAAGTTGCTTGAACAAACGGCAAAGGACATATGTACCCTAAAGAAGTCATAGAATTAAAGTTCACAATTCTTCTTTGATGATAAGACCTCCAGGTGGCAAATGCATGACATCACGTGAACAGAAATACGACATCCCATGCAAATCAATTTCTGCTGTGGATCGGAATTCAGATATATATATATATATATAGATAATTTAGCTCTTTATTACTGGTTCACTTATGAGTGATGGTATCTTCAGTGACGGATAGGCAACCACATCTCATGGCTTTCCAAGTCTCAGTAATAATCTGCTAATCCTAGAAAAACAGGAAACGTTTGGACCCTAGCACAAGGGAGAGATTTCTAAGATCAACTACTCACATAAAACATTCGACAATAGTAGTGTCTAATAACTCTTGGCTACTTAGCACTCTTTGTTCCACATTTTTTGAAGTTCAACTATTCGAGACACCCTCCAGGATATATATGTTCATTCAATCGAGGCATGAAATATTGAGACAAAATTAAAGACACCAAAGTGACTGCCAAAAGATTGCGGACAAATCAAGTATCAAATAAAGACATACTGAAGCCTTTGACTGAAACTATTGCCATCAACATGGAAATGCACCTTTCCTCTGGGACATTCACGAAACATGAACATCATGCTATTCTATAGATTTCTAGGTCACAGAAAGTAGCATACACCGTGAAAATCAAACCTTTAAATTTTGAGACGGCTGACACATAATCACTGGCATTGGAAGGCCAATGGTAACATTCTAATAAGATACAGATACAAGAAATGGACTTTCTAAACTAGACGTGAATTTAATGTAATGTTCATAAGAAACAAGGTTTAATCTGTTTTTCTTCTTGGAAGTTTTTCTCCTTCAAACCCAACTATCAACCTGCCACCCAATCACTCGATATCGTGTCCACAACCAGTGTGAGTCCAATATGGTAATGGAATAGCCACCCAAGAAGTGCCAAACATCTCAATGATCAATGATTAATCATCAAAGTATTCAATACTAGAGGAAACACTTCAGAGGCAACTTCTTTATACAATCTATCTAGTCTACTGTCTGTTGCACTTCAGAGGAAACACATAATTTCAGCTCAATTCAAGTAGACTAGAGGACTGAGATGCATGAAGACTCAATCTGGCCCAAATCAAGTAATCATGTCAAATGTGTCAAAATCTCATTTCTCACGTTTATTATTTCTCACATTTTTTTAATTTCAAATAATGTTCTTAAACTATTAAGGGCATTCTAACATAACCCTCCTTTTTCTAAGGGGCGACTGAAAAAGAACCCTCCTTTTCCCTAGGAAAGTTTCAAATGATTTCCCCTTCCCTATGTTAGTTATAACTATATTTCGGCCTATAAAAAACCCTCCACTTGTAGCCCCAGAGGCATTCACGTTTTCGTCTATCTACTTTCAAGTACTCTTCCTCTCTAGAGGTTCTCTATCTCTACTGGTGGATTCCAGCATCCTTGTGGGCTCAAGGAGCCATTTATGATCCCATGGATTCAAAATCAAGTCTTTGTGGACTCAAGGGTCAAGTTTTCTAAACTCTGTGGATACAAGGTAAGGAAATCTCACAGATTTCAACTCATTTCAACTCAAGCTGCATCAGAACGTGATCAAATCGCAAGTTCTTCCAGTTTCTACTGCATCACATAGACAAAGAGAAAGGCAATTAAAAACGATTGACACAAGAAAATAGAGATCAAATTGTTCACATACCTGATCCACCTTTACCTTATCAATGATTTTCTCTGGGGAGTTGGTAACACGATATTCATGCATAATCCAGCCAGTCTTCTCGCCCTTTGGTGCTCGCCCCCGGTGGAAAACTAGTGTCCTCTTCATCCCAATGAGATTCTCACCGGAAACGCTTCGGGACTTAATGTTACGATCCTTCCCAGTGGCCTTCCAGTACCCAGCCACCGTCGCCCTATTGGACCGTTGCCCATTGGGGTACTTGCGGTTCCTCGGCGAGAAGAAGAACCACTCCTGGTCTCCAGTCTTGATCGCGGATTTTTCTGAAAGTCACAATAAGGTGAAAAGAGATTCTAACCCCCAGACAAAGAAAGGAACAACAAGTGAAGCCAGCATTTGCTACACGCACAAACATCGTCACCTCAGGCATGGAAATTGGAAAACCTAAAACAAAATAGGTCCAAGTGCAACTGATGCGATAGCGGAGATCATAGTAACAGCTACCTGGAAGATCCCAGGGCTCGAACTTGCAGACGTCGATCTCAGGAATGACCCCGTCGTTGTCCTTGCGGCCGCTGATCTTCCCCTTCAGGTAGTGGTTGATGAGCTCCTCGTCCGTCGGCCGGAACCGAAATCCCACCGGCATCGATCCCAGCGACACCCCCGCCATATCTCCCACAAACCCTAACCTCCGATCTTTCCCCCCAGTTCCACCTCCACCACGATAATCCTACACGCCTATTTCAACACCCTCCCCTAGAAACAAAAAGAAAAACCAGAGAAACAAAAAAATCTCGCGCAGGAGGAAGACAGACCAAACACAAGCCGGAATTCTGGCAAGACACAAAAACCTAGAGATCAGACGCCGCGATGAGCAGAGAAAGCGCCACAGTATGAGGGTGGTGGAAGGGGGGGACTCCCCTTCCTCTCCACTGGTACTACCCGATCGCCCACCATAGATATCCCAGGCAAGATCCTACCGCGGGGAGGCGACGCGAGAGGCGCGTCATTGCTGCTTCCTGGAAGGGGACGACGGCTTCGCCGCGCAAAGAGCATAACTTTGCTGTGGTCAACCCACAAGGGGGGTGAAACAGAGCGACTGACTTGCACTGTATTGCTGACCACGACGACCCCTCACCTGTCGATATAATTACCTCAATATACTTAATTAAGATTAATAATTATTATCGAAATTATCCCGGTCCAGCTGACCGGTAAGGCTCGGAAATGGGCCGGGCCATTAACGGGAGCCTAATGGATATATCACACGTGCGAAGTCTGACGTGGAGGCTTGAGGAGAAATCCAGTTACGTTGGGACTGGGAGTACCGAATCTTCCTGGTTTCGCAAGCAAGCCCTTGTCCTTTCTCCCATCGTCGTCGTCGAGGGGAAGGGACGGGAGGAGAGGAGAGGGGAGGAAGTGGCGGGGTTGAGGGAGGAACGAAGGAGAGGGGAGGGATCATGGTGCTCACACAGAAGCTGCACGAGACGTTCAAGGGAACGGTGGAGAGAATCACTGGGCCGCGGACAGTCTCCGCCTTCAAGGAGAAGGGAGTCCTCAGCGTCTCCGAGTTCGTCATCGCCGGCGATAACCTCGTCTCCAAGTGCCCCACCTGGTCCTGGTATGTGTCCTCTCTCCCAGTTGTTGGATGGTGGGAGTGCGGCGTATTTTTCGTAAGATGCTTCTGTTTTTTAACTCATCGATTGCCCTATGATGCTTTGCTTTGTTGTGGTGGTGGATTGATCTGGATAGGGAGGCCGGCGAGCCGAAAAAGAGGAAGCCGTACTTGCCTCCAGATAAACAGTTCCTCGTTACTAGAAATGGTATCTCGATAAGCGTACATTGAATTGGGATTGCCTTTTATGTTTATTTTCTGTATATTTCAATTTGGGCGTGCCTGATGTATCCCTTAAACGCTTCTTCTTTTCCTCAATTCTCAGTGCCTTGCTTGCGACGGGCAATTTCTGTTGAGGAAGAGTACGAAGCTGCTGGAGGGGAAGTTCTTCTTGACAATGACGAGAACGATGGCTGGCTCGCGACTCATGGAAAGCCTAAAGGTAGTACCATTTTTTATAATTTATTGGTTGTATCGGTACAATACCATATTACTAAGTTGGTTTGAATCAGATGTTTCTTGGGTTAATATGCCTTATTTTCTGTAGAGACCCAACCCAACGAAGAAGAGACGATACCTTCCATGGAGTCTTTAGCAATCAACTCGGAAGGACCTATCCGATCCATTTCTACCTATTTCGGTGGTGCAGAGGAAGAAGATATTCCTGACATGGCTAGCTATGGGGATCCAGATAATCTTCTCGATGTAGATCCTGTATGTCACCGTCCCTGGCCCAACTCTAACTTATCATGTATTCGTCTTTTTCGTGTGTTTTTGGTCTAACCTTTAACCTACTTTTAATCTTTTCTGTTACGTATCCTATTACATTTATAAAATTTCGTACTGGTATGAAATTGTGTTGGAAAAAATCCCACAGTGATATCTATACGACTTAAGACTTAGTTCTTTGGAAACTTTGCCATCCTGGAGATGATCATGGATATCATCCTAGAATTAGTATAAAATTCTTTGGTGCACGAACAAACAACTCCATGCTTCTTACAAAGTACATCAGATTGCATAATCTTTATCATGAGGACTCGTGTGATGTCACAAAATAAACTTGATTATACATGAAATCGATCAGTTACCTACACTCATCTAAAAGAGGCGCTAAAATCAAACTTCAAAAGAAAATATTCAAAATACATTTAATTGTCGAGAGGACATCACTGCTGCTCCAAACATATATTTACGGTCATTATTTTGTTAAAAAATGTGAACTTTCTTATCGCAGTATATTCTTATCGCAGTATCATTTTCACGTTTAATTATATGTGAATTGGTTGGTGGTTAATGGTTTTGAGGAATTGTTTGGTATAGTTATTTGTACAATGCGATAGTTTAGAGAAGCAAATTAGCAAACGTAGAGGCCAGCAACAGAGAATATTTCTGTCAGCTGGGTACTATTTTAGTGCAAGGGATAAGCATGAGAACCAGGCAAACGAAGAGATTCCCTGGCTTCCCTCTGCATTTCTTGTGAGTAAAATGATATTTAGGAATTGATGGGTGTAGTGTATTTAGGATGGGTTGATTATAGAAACCCAGAATTCGGTTGTTGGTTTTATTCTTATTTTATGATTTTATCACTATGAACAAGCATGAAAAGCTAAATCATGTCTTGGTCAAAATGACATGTGGCTCAGGAGATCTGAAGGTGCATTAGTTGTGTTGACTAGTGTTTTCATCAGAAATTCATGCTACATGGGTTGATACCTGTTTCTGGAAACTAGAACATAAGGGACATGTTGCAATACTGTTAAAACGGCCAATATGTTGTAACCATCGATGTGATATCTGATTGTCTATTTCTTAAAAATCAATTGTTATGGTTCCCAGTAGGATGCTCATTTTCAGTTATGTTTTGTCCTGTGTTGTAGATTGATGGGTTACAATAACAGTTTGGCATTCTTTTGTTTAATGATGTTATCTTTTATAGAGTCATCATCAGTCAACGCTCATTTCTAACATTGGTGAAGTGACTTAGCTCAGTCAACCTAATTCACGTGGGAGGTTTCTGCTTCTGTAGATATGCAGTCAGACTTACATGACAGACAGATGCTATATAGCTATCATAGAGACATCATAATGTGTTGAAAAGTAAAAGTTGTCTAAAAGATGCCAGTGATGTATAGAGATACTGTAAGGTTGTTTCCTTTTCTTTTTTAGGAGCATACTCTTGTGGCACGTTATTCTTGTATTTGCAACTCTGTAGTTTACTTTGCTCAATAAGTAGTGATCGCAAAATCATAGGTATTCTATGTGTTTCTTTATAACTGTGTCAGTTGATTCCATAAAACTTTCTCTCATCTGTCCTTAATTTACTCAGGCAACACTTCAGCCCACATATTTTGTGGCACAGGAGCCAGAGGAGGACAATATACTTCGCACTCGCACCTATGATGTTAGCATAACGTAAGAAGTTTCTCCTCTCCTGCAGTAATATGTTGATTGATCTTAATTTATTTATTGTGCTATGTCATCGTGGCCGAATATAATTTACTTTTGATTTGTCAGAAAGAGTAAATATAAGGAAAGTTTGGGTAATGATTGTGTTCTCCTTTTTTTTCATAATTTTTCTCAAGTAATGTTTCATCAATTTGAAGTCCATGGCCAGTGCCCGTCCATCTTCAATGAAGGAGTGGATGTTGTTGTAGTACTCGAATTTCTGGGTTAAATTCTAGGTTGGGGATGAAAGTACAGGTGGACTGCAGCTGCTCTGCTTTACACTTCTAGGTTTCCTCACCTCAAAATATTCAGCTCGTTTGGGCCAGTTTTTTCGCCTGACTAGGGAGGTTGTCATATTGATGCGAGCATAATCCTCATATGTGCTATTCATTTGCATTTGTGAATAGTTTATGACTAAATTACCAACTATCTTAAGGTGAGAAGTAGTACCTGTGAGATAAGAAGGTAGTGAGCCTATCCTTCCTGTCTGTTCACCTCGGAAGGGTGGTAGAAGTTAGACGGACGAGATGGGCTTATGAGGGTCAAAAAGTCCAGACAGAAAGCTCTAACGTCACAACATCTTTTGGATCTCTTATTTCGAAGTACTTGCTAGTAGACGTTCTTCCTTCTCCTGTGGTTTTTCACCCTGAATGCCTTGTTTCCTTATTGTTATTAGAAAAGGTGCAATTGAGTCATTTATAGGGAAAGAAACTCAGAAGATTCGAGTAGATTTGCCTCCGATGTGGTAGATAGCAATTATTAATACCTTTCTTTTGGAGATAAATTATATCATTACATTTATTTCATAGGCGGTGAACAATCAAATTTGAATATCACTGAACTTAAGCACTGCATGTGCTGGGACCTAAACAAGTAAAATTTACTAATTTTCTAGAGGAACAGAACCAAAAGTTGCTTTTCCCGTGGATGTCTCCTTTGATGCAATGTTGAATACCTTCAAAGGAAAAGTTTCCTTCGAGCACTGTCTTCTTTGCCTTTGAAACTGTTGTGTAAATTATCAATGAATATGAAATTCCATAATCTGAAAAAGTCATGAGGGGAACGGATATTTGTTTTCAAGTTTTAGTTCTTCACTGAAGCTACCTTTGATGACAACAAATTCCGTACTTTCACATTTATTCCAATTATGTGGTATCTATTTTAATTTTTGATTTGGTACCTGTCTAGCTCCATTTCAGAAGTTGGCGACAACTGATCCTTTTGATGGTTATAACTTCAAATTTTTAGTCCTGTCCTTGGGGAGTAGATACTGATAGGATCTCAAACAGGACCCTATCAAGGACAGCAACCGGATTGCACAGACGAAGATAATACAGATGATTGGAAAGAACCCACTGAGATAAACAAGAGATAAGAACAGGCAAAGGGGAGGGTTTCCGAACATTTTGGGACGAATTCGAGAGCGCCCCACCCTAAAGGGTCCTTATACCCATACTCCCTAAGTGGCCCACTTACCATTAGTCCTTCCTTACCTCCTTCCTTTTACGGTGGTAAGTAAGTCCAAAGCGGGTTGGGGCAGTGGGTCCTTGCCCAGGCCCAGTAATCGGCTCAATTTGGAGCACTAGGAAGGGACCTAACAGATACTTGTTAGATCATAGTTTTCTTAGTGTGTCCAGCTGGACAGCTCATCGTAGATGGCTGCTTGGATTCATTATTGAAATTGTGACCATCTGCGGACATCTGCACATTCTACTGGTTTTTTAGGTTGCTTGTATTGGAAACAGCTGTGCATTCATCAGAACACAAATGTTTACTAAAATATTTAATTATTAATAATTATTTAACTTATCATGTCACTTAGAATTTTTTATGGCAAGATTCTTGTCTTAATATTTTGCGCAAATAGTAGATATATTTTTTCTAATGGTCAAATTCCACGTCTATCTTATCATTTAAATAATTTTTAGACAATTTAACAAGAAGCGTCACCCTAGAGCTTTGCCGTGTCACTGATATTCAGTGAAGTACCACTTTACAAACCTTGCATCCCATAAAATCGTTACTTCTAAACCTGAAAGTGAGTTGGTCACAATGCTCATTTCATTGAAACTGTTATTCCCTACAAGTCTCCATAGATTATCATTTTCCATGAAAATGGTGCTTTCAATAGCTTTTTTGCTCACCTTAAGAATTCATTGTTATTATGACATTATCAGAACCTAATGTGGCCTTTATTCCCTACAGGTATGATAAATACTATCAAACACCTCGTGTATGGTTGACTGGATATGACGAGGTTTGTTCCACAAGTATAGATTTATGACAATCTTACTAAATGCCATATGTTTTCTTGAAGTTGCCTTTTTATTCTTTGTATGCTACACATGAATGCTTGAGTAATTGTGGAAGAGGGATATCTTGCTGACGTTATTATGTGGATGATATTTGAAATCATTGGTATGCATATGCTGAAGTTCATGTATGGTGTGAAGTACTTCGAAACCTTTTAAGGTAAAATGATGATGGTGAGTCATAAATGATATTCTAGAACTAGTGCATGTTGTGTCGATTCATGCCACACATGCCTGATCTCTGTTTAAGGAATTACTTCGTTACTATATTCTCTGTCATCGTCTTCATCATCTTCCCATCAAGCCTCATCCACCGACTGGGGTTGGGTTGGTAAGGACTTGAAGGGGAATCTGAAAGCATAAACTGCGTTTTCAACAAGCCACTTTCCTCTGATGGACTTTACATTCCTTTGAAAAATCGGAAGAACTGTAGTTGAAGATCGATCATAGGAAAATCCATTTAGAGGGCAATGCCTGTTCTCTACTGGTTAATGACGACTTCGAAAGCATATAGAGTATATGCAGGCTAGCCAGTATGAAAACTGACGAGGTGACAAGAGATAAAAGTGAAGAAATGGTGACAGAGAAATAAGAAAAGTACCTTAGGTTTAGTAAACTACTATTCTTGGGGATTATTCTGAATCCAACTGTTCTTTGTGGCTTCCTCTCCCATCTACAGTTACGCAATCATATGAAGCATTTGGTGTAATCCTGTATCATTTATTGCAGAAACCTTGTTCTGTCTGATTTTTTTTTTTTTTTTTGAGTGGCCATTGATTTTACTCTCTCACTTATCTTCTTAATGTCGCTCAAAGAAACAAAGTTTTTGGTCAAAGGATTGGAATAACGCTGAAAAACTCTTGTTGAAAAATGTACTGATCAATGGATCATAAGGGTTGAACATAAGAAGAGTTACACCAAATAATTCCATTGCTCCTTACGAATAATAGTATTGATCCGACAAGTACTTCATGTAGATTGAATTGAGTTTCCTGCTGAGGAAATTCAAAGATAGATCAGTGTGAAGCATGTCTCATAGTCCGCTTCAAGAATTAGAGTATAGTTTACATTTAGACCAGTGTTTATTCTTATGTTTAATGTTCTGGGTTTGCCAATTTGCATATGTTTGTGCACCAATTTTTTGAGAGTATTTTCCTTTGTTTCACAGTCAAGGATGCCTTTGCAACCAGAGCTTGTGCTCGAGGATGTTAGCCAAGACCATGCACACAAAACTGTAACCTCCAGATCTTCTTTACTTTTATGATTAGCTCACAATTTTCCCTGTTGACTTTGTCTAAAGGCTTAAATTATGAATTATCATTATCTTTTTAGGTTTGTTGACAATTTAGTATAAAAATGTTCCCACTTCTGTTTGCTTGGTCATGGAAGTATGTACTATTCTATATCTGGATATCCATTTTTGTTTCTATGTATCAAACTTAGGATGATATGAGCATGAAATTTTGATTAGTATACTCCGGAGAGTATCATGATCAGGCTGATCAGGCATAATTTCGGGGGGGAATAATAGTTTTTTCTTCTCCGGAAGCAATCTTGGATAAGTTTATCTTAAGTGAGATTTGTCTTTTCATGGCTTTCTTGTTCTGATACATATTTTCCTTCATGACATGCTACGCCCATGCCTCTTTTTTACAGAGGTGAATTGATCAATGCGTGTGTTTTCTTTTACTTTCTTTTTTTCTTTTCTTTTCTTTTCGTTTTTTGTGGTGGGGGTGGCAAATAGGCAATTAGGCAATTAGGCAATGAGACTAATCCACCTGATTAGTTTGGGCACGAGATGATATTCTGATTACCATGCAATTAGGCAATTTCAAAGACCAGAAGAGGAGAAAGAGAAAATAAAGAAATATCAGGGGAGCTGGGGATCGGGTTCAGTTTTAGGTACATCAAATCACCCACTCCACACCACCGAGCATGCCTTTGGGGCAGCTGAATGGGTCGAAATTCATTGCGAATTAGTAAACTATCAGCGGAATTGGCTGATTCATCCAAGATTGGCCGATTTCCAAGACGAATGAACACCTAAATTGGCTGATTTAGGACCAATTGGCCCCTAAGTTTACTGATCCAGGGGAATCATTTTAGGGTATTCGTGGAAATCAAGCTAGCTAGCCTTTGAGGCAGCTGACTGTGTCGGACCAGTTGGGAATCAGAAAATCCTAGTGGATTGGCCTACTCATCCAGGGTGAACGAGCTACTAAATTACTCATTTTACGATGGATTAGGCCCTAAATTGGCCGATCCAAGGGTATATCAGAATGATCACTGCCAATTCCTTGGGCTATGCTTGGTTAGCACGCTCCTCCTGGTGATTACTTACGTCTTTCTTCTTCTCCATTATAGTTTTCTTTTCGTCCACTTATTCTCCATCACACTCCCTCCTTTTACTTTATTTTATTCCTTGAAGCATCCTTGCCTGTTCCACTCTTTTTTCCATATTTGAACTGTTAGCAGTGGACATTCATCGACTTCTGGCGCCATTAGCATATTTTGCTTTTAATATCTTATTTAACACATCCTCTGAACAGTCTTAAAAACCAGATAATTCCTTTTTTTATCCCTGAAAAATGCGTCTCCTGAACAAATTTATTTCCACGGCAAGTCAGATTCTCTTCCAAGGCAGCTTTTCTTCAGAGGGAAAGTGCAGATTTTCCTTTCCATTTTTTCCTGAACACAGGTGACAATTGAGGACCATCCTCATCTCCCTGGGAAGCACGCATCTGTTCATCCCTGCAGGCATGGAGCAGTGATGAAGAAGATCATTGATGTCTTAATGTCCCGTGGAGTTGAACCCGAAGTAGACAAGTAACTTCTTTTCCTTATCTGCGTGGTTGTTATCATCCTTTTCACACTGAATTCCTCATATTTCTCGTCATTTCAACCATGATCTTGGCTTCTTCTTTTTTTCCTTTTTTCATATGAACAATTCCTTCCAACTCTTCTCATCCCTTGGAACTGAGTTTGTCATCTTAATCATGATCGTGACTTTGTACTGCCGACTCGCCGCTGATCTTCTGATATTCCAGGTACCTCTTTCTGTTTCTGAAATTCGTTGCTTCTGTGATTCCCACCATCGAATATGATTACACCATGGACTTTGACATTGGGAGTTCAAGTCACTGATGAAAGGTAAGCAGAGAAGGATCTCCTACCCTACTCATGCTTCTTCTTCTTATTTTATTTTTTTATTTTTATTTATTTATGTATTTATTTCTAGCAGTCTGATATCTTATCCTTTCCATCTACTCCTGCCAGCACGCGCCTCCCACGTGTTGTGTACATTGACAAACGCCAAAGGCATAGCTCTACTTGGCTGGCTTCTTCCTTCCATCCCCTCCCAAAGTGCCATTTTGGGAGATGACTATGTAAAGGACTTCAGAATCTGCTGTCATCTCAATGCCCTCCGTGTTAATAAAGGCTGATGATTTCATAACTTATCTCTAGACCTCGCTTGGTTGGTCAGCTGCTTGCTCGCTCGTTCTTTGCGGTGCCCTGGTTGATGATTTCCTCACCCCTTCGGATATTTGTGTACTATGTGGCACCATAAGAAGCTGGTCAGCAGTTGACTCCCAATCAACATCTTGTCGATGTATGTTAGATTTTTTGTGCTGAGTAGTGGGCTTGATCGTCAACCTCGGAGAAAAAGTATCATCTTATCTAATTTCCACTTTTGTTAGCTTAGATAAAAGTTCTTATGTGGAAAGTTGACTCTCATCTTCATTGTCATACAGAACATTGAGAGAGAGAGAGAGATGTATATATATATATATATATATATATATATAGAGAGAGAGAGAGAGAGAGAGAGAGAGAGAGAAAGAGAGATGTATATATATATATATATCTATATATATATATATATATATATATATATATATATAGAGAGAGAGAGAGAGAGAGAGAGAGAGAAAGAGAGAGGGAGAGATTCTATGGAACATTGAGATGGCACAATCATAGTAGATTAGGCAAAATGAAAACAAAAAATAACGTGATAAAGAAACAGTGATAGAGTAGGAATGACTTTTATAGTAAAATATAATCGATAAGATAGGAATTATTACGGTTTAAAGTTTTTGAGTATTTCATTTTAGTGACATGGATCTGTTCGTGAAATATATACATAAATTATATTGAAAAAAGTCAATAATACATGGAAATTAATATAAATAGAAATGGAAATCATTACCATGGATAATAATTAATATTTTTATTTATAAAGATTAAATTTTATATTCCTCTTGAATATTCATCTGAAAGAGGATCAACAAGCTCTCTTGATGGGGCCATTGGCGTGGTTTTACTTGCAGAACATTATAAATACATTATATTGTAAATAAATAAAAAATAAATATTATATGGAAATAAAATCGCTACCATGGGTAAGAATTGAAGTACGTGTCTTGTTTTATTGATTTATAATCATATAATTTCAATGTATATAAAAATTAGCGAACTCTATTGGTCGGTCCCAAGGGCGAGCCCAAGCACGAACCCGGCCCGGCCCCGCCCGGCCCGGCCTGATTGGCAAAACCGCCTTTGACGAACCGACCGGGTTCGCTAGCCGTTCAGCTTCTACGCTTCCGCCCCGGTCGGTTCAGCATTGTGGCGCCTTGGCTATAGAAGCCGAAGTTAGGGTTTCTCTTCTTCTCCCTTCCATCTTCGCTGCTTCTGCTCGTGTTCTCGGTAAGGCCAGGATGGCGGCCGTGATGGCCATGCCGGACGTTGAAGCGGCCGCCCAGCGACTGGGCATCAACCTCTCCTCTGTCGATCTCGACGACATCCGCCTCCCTCCCGGAGACGATTTTGGCATACCGAGGTGGTGACTAGTCCCCCCTCCCCCGGAAACACCGACCCCTGGCCCTGAGTATGATTGTGGCTTCACAATTTTCGGTCTGTTTGATCTCAGTGATGATGACGAGGATCTGCTCGCGAGGGAGGAGTTGGAGTTCGAGTCCGGGTTCGGTAACGTCGTCGTTGTCGACAACCTGCCGGTTGTTCCGCCGGAAAAGTTCGAGAAGCTGGAGAACGTCGTCCGCAAGATCTACAGCCAGATCGGGGTCATCAAGGAGGACGGCTTTTGGATGCCGACTAACCCTGAGACCAAAAAGACCCTTGGTTACTGCTTCATCGAGTACAATACCCCGCAGGTGAGGCCGAACCTGCCGTCACGAGTGTTATAGAATTTGGGCCATTCACCATTATGTCGTGTTGATTACGAATTCGATGTGCCCGTAGGAGGCAGAGCTTGCGAGGGAGAAGACGAACGGGTATAAGTTGGACAAGTCACATATTTTTGCAGTCAACCTGTTCGATGATTTTGACAAGTTCATGAAGGTTCCAGACCAGTGGACTCCTGCTGAGATCAAGCCATATGTACCTGTGGTAAGCAAGCGCTTAATCTCACGGCAGTATGTTTGGGCTTTAGATCCTGGTTTCGTGTGACTGCTTGCCCCTCCCGCTTAAATGGCTTTATTGCTCGATCCTTGATTTGATTCCGATTTGTCATCTTGCGAGCTTCGTGTGCCGTATAGCTACCAGAGAAAATATGGGAACCCCACATTATAGGCCATTAACATGGTATTGTCTCTGGAAGAGTATTACTTTCGTGTGAACAACTCGTATCTCTGGCTGCGTCTGAAGGTGATTACCCATTATTTCTGTCCAGTTTTGTGCGGTATAGTTGACAGATGACGTGAGGCATTGTGACATCTTCCATTTTTGGCAGAATTATGGCGTGTGTTGCCTCTTCTAATTTAACCTTATGATGACTTTCGACAGGAGAACCTCCACAAGTGGCTAACTGATGAAAAGGGTAGAGACCAATATGTTATCTGTGCCGGTCAGGAAACTGAGGTCCTGTGGAACGATGCAAGACAGCTGAAACCAGAGCTTGTCTACCGTCGTAGTGTAAGTAATTTTTGAAAAATATACTTGTATTCTATGCTTATGCCTTTGAATTCAGAATTGATGGATATGATTTATTTATTTCGATGGCCATATTACTCGTCCTTTTTAAGGCGGGGGAATGTGAATGAATTAGAGAATGAGTCAGACGAAGTGGGACAAGTACCTTCTCTCATCAGGAAGATAGTTTGAACTGAGAATATATATGCATTCATATATATATGTATAATCTTTTTTCATTCTGTCATTTATACTAAGAACCGTTGATAATCTCACTGAAAGTTTGCTGGGTATTATACATTCTCCCTGTGATTGGTGTACTTTAGCAAAACTTCGTTGAAGTCGAGGAGCCTAAATATTGAAGATATTAACTTCCTGTGATCCAAATGGCCTGTAAATATCAGGGACATACTGTGCATTTGTTTTGATTCCACGATAAATTGCTCAGTGGTTGATTCCTCATTTTTCTGGTTCGCAGCAATGGACTGAGAGTTTTGTTCAGTGGTCTCCTCTGGGTACTTACTTGGCTACGATGCACCGGCAGGGTGTTGCCATCTGGGGAGGTGGCAGTACGTTCAACCGCATAATGCGTTATGCCCATGCTCTGGTCCTGCGAGTTTAAACCTAAAATTTTCTTCAGTTTTTTTTTTCTGTTTTCTGTTCTGTAACATGGTGATCTCTTGCAGGTTAGGCTTATTGATTTCTCCCCTGGGGAGAGATACCTGGTTACATACAGCAGCCATGAGCCTAACGGTCCTCGTGATACTCATGTAAGGCAGCATACGTAGTTCAATATTTAATCGTGATTATGTGAATGCGATCTCATCGGTGCTATGTTGATCTTTTCTGCGCCTGTTTTCAGAGAGTCGTGCTGAATATTTTCGACACAAGAACAGGCAAAGTTATGAGAGATTTCAAGGGAAATGCGGACGAGTTTATGACCGGCACTGCGGGGGGTGTTTCTGGAGTGTCCTGGCCTGTTTTCAGGTGACACGAGATTTCCCACCATCTTTTCAATCCTCATCTGTAGAGTTTTGTTGTGATCGACATCATGATCTGTAGATTTAAGGAAGTCAACTCTTGCTCACGTTTTGATATTTTTCAGGTGGGGCGGTGGCAAAGATGACAAATATTTTGCTCGGATTGGAAAGAATGTGATCTCTGTCTATGAAACAGAGACCTTCTCCCTTGTTGATAAGAAATCCATGAAGGTGGAGAATGTAGTTGACTTCTGCTGGTCCCCTGCCGATCCCATACTTGCACTCTTTGTTCCAGAGCTCGGTGGCGGGAATCAACCAGCCAGGGTGGGTACCTGTTGACTCCCCATCCCCAGAACAATTAGTGTTTCCTATCATCTTCTTCCATCCCCAATGGTTGAATCTCTCTCTTCTTCCACCCACCTCTCTCTCTCTCTACAGGTGAGCCTTGTCCAGATTCCTGGCAAGGAGGAGCTGAGGCAGAAGAATCTTTTCAGCGTGAGCGACTGCAAGATGTACTGGCAGAGCAATGGCGAATACCTTGCTGTCAAGGTTGACCGATACACGAAGACGAAGAAGTCAACCTACACTGGCTTCGAGCTCTTCCGCATAAAAGAGAGGGACATCCCCATCGAGGTCCTGGAGCTTGAGAACAAGAACGATAAGATCGTGGCCTTCGCTTGGGAGCCCAAAGGTCACAGATTTGCTGTCATCCATGGAGACAACCCCAGACCCGATATCAGCTTCTACTCCATGCGAACCACCCACAACTCAGGCCGAGTTTCTAAGCTGACCACTCTGAAGGGCAAGCAGGCCAACGCCCTCTACTGGTCTCCCGCTGGTCGCTTTGTGATCCTCGCTGGTCTGAAGGGCTTTAATGGTCAGCTGGAGTTCTACAATGTGGACGAGCTGGAGACCATGGCCACTGCCGAGCACTTCATGGCGACAGATATCGAATGGGACCCCACTGGAAGGCATGATGAACAACAACTCATCATCTCTATGAGTCTAGATCGATCATAGGCGCATATTTTCTCATTCCATGTTCGTCTCCAGGTACGTTGCGACGTCTGTGACTTCAGTCCACGAGATGGAAAACGGCTTCAACATCTGGTCTTTCAATGGCAAACTGCTGTACAGAATACCGAGGGACCATTTCCGTCAGGTGAGGAAATCTGTCTGTCTCTCTCCGGTCCTGTCGATGAACAAGTCTTCTGAGCCTGTTCATCGCGGTCATGGCAGTTCTTGTGGCGGCCGAGGCCGCCGTCTCTGCTGAGCGCGGAGAAGGAGGAGGAGATCTCCAAGAACCTGAAGAAGTACAGCAAGAAGTACGAGGCGGAGGACCAGGACGTGTCGCTCCTGTTGAGCGAGCAGGACAGGGAGAAGAGGAAGATGCTCAAGGACGAGTGGGAGAGGTGGGTCAAGGAGTGGAAGAGGCTCTACGATGAGGAGAAGGCGGAGCGGCGGCGGCTGAGGGACGGCGAGGCCAGTGACGAGGAGGAGGAGTACGAGGCCAAGGAAGTCGAAGTGGAGGAAATCCTTGATTCCGTGGAGGAGGTTGTCCCATAGAGAGAAAAAAACAAGTGATTCTTGGCGGCGGCGGCGGCATTTTTCTGTGACTCGAATCCTTCTCTCTTTCATTTTCTTTCAGAAGAACCCTAAAAACCAGGAGATGCTAAGCAGGAGATTTTTCTTCTTTTTTTCTTTTGTGGGTCGTGAATTCCTTCTACTGACGATGGATGGCCTGTTCTTCAATATTTTTGCTGCTTACAGTGATGGGTCAGTCTCATGAGCTCTGATCGAAGCAGCTCTCTTCTTTTTCTATCATTTTCTGTGATTGAGTTCGGTTTCATGGGGGAGGACGAGGCTGCGGACGAGGATGCCCTCGAATGTGATGCCTGGACCGAAGGCCAGCACGAGCCCCCACTCCTCCGCGGCGGCAGGCGCCGCCGCCGCCGCCGCCGCCGCCGCCGCCTTCTTCCGCATGTTTTCCATGACGTAGAAGACGGTGTTGCTGCTGGCGTTGCCGTACTCCATGAGCGCCCTCCTGCTGCTCTCCAGCTTCTCCGGAAGCAGCCCCAGCTTCTTCTCCACCCTGTTCAGTATCGCCGGCCCACCGGGGTGCACCACCCAGAACAGCTCGTTCAGCTCCACCTCTCCAGCGGGGCCGCCAGCCTTCGCCGCCAGCCCCCTGCAGAACCCCTCGATGTGGGCTTCGATCTTCTCCGGCAGGTCCCTTCCGAGGGAGAAGCTTATCCCCTCCTCCGTCAACCCCCCCTCGATCACACCACCGGTCCCCGGGATGAACCGCTGCACCGCGCAGTGCAGCTCCAGGAACGGCGGGGATTCCACCGCCGCCGGCAGCGGGTCGGCGCCGACGACCACCGCCGCGGCGCCGTCGCCAAACAGCGCCGCCCCCACCAGGTCGTACGGCCGGGCGGCGCTCGGTGGCCGGAACCCTAAAACCGTCGTCTCGGAGGTCACCACCAGGACCCGGCTGCCGGGGTTGTTCTCTGCGAGGTCCTTCGCCACCCGGAGACCCGCGGCGCCGCCGTAGCAGCCGAGGAAGTAGAGGACCACGCGGGAGACGTCGGGTCTGAGGCCGAGGCGGTGGGAGAGGTGGAGGTCGCCGCCGGGAAGGCGGAGCTCGCTGGAGGAGACGTAGACGAGGTGGGTTATCTCCGCCGCCGGTCGTCGCCACTCTTTCAGGCAGGCCTCACAGGCCTCCGCTGCCATGTCCAGCACCGCCTCGTTGGCCACGCTGAGCCGCTGCCGAATCGTTGGGGTGCCCTCCGCGGCCAGCTCCGGGAACCTCTCCAATATCTCCTTCGACATGACGGTGTACCTCGTCTTCACCGTCGTGTTCTTGCCTGCTCAGAGGATCAAGAGTTTCAGATGAAGAAGAAGAAAAAGAAGAGTCTCAGAAGAAGAAGTTACAGAGGCGCTCGAGCTTCTCTCTCATGGCAGCGTCGTGGCAGTTGGTGTCGCGGAAGTAGCCTTCGACGAGAAGCTCTTGCCGGAGGAGCTGGCGGGGGAAGGCCTTGCCCAGGGCCAGCACCGTCGCCTTCCCCTTCCTGGGCTCACGCTTTGCGGCGTCCGCTCCATTGCGATACATCCTTCAGATCTTCTCAGAGGAAGAAGACGACTGGCCGAGGAAGAAGACGACTAGCGCTTGACCTGTCTCCCCCTCCCTGGTCAGCCGCTCCTTTTAAAGGAGAACACATAGGAGAGAGAAAGAGAGAGAGAGAGTGATGGAAAGGTTGGTCGGTCAGAGGAGAGGGATGCATGATCAGAAGAAGAAGCCTCAAAGGTGTGACGCACCAGTCGTCAAGAACAACCGAGAATCAGACAGACCAGAAAAGACTGACTTGACAAGCGAGTTCTATCTCTGAAAAATAGAAAAAGCCACATTCTTGGGGAAGGAAAGAAGGTCAGAATCAGGAGAGGACTTCTTCGATGGAGACGAAACGCCCCTGCTCGATGGAGAGTTGACCGGCCACGCCGATCGCCACCGAGAGCAGCCCGTCGCGCAGGTCAACGGCCGGCGCCGCCCCGCCGCTCCCAGCCGCCCTCACGGCCGCGAGGAATGCGAGATGCTCCAGGTAGCTGGACCCGTGGTGCAGCCCCTCGTACCTGCCGCCGCCAAATCATAATCTTAAAAACCAATCATCTCCCATACTGATCTGAATTTAGATGATGGTCAACGGTGGCCCAAAGGTCAACGGGCTCCTGATCTTTAGAAGAAGAGGGAACCCACTTGATCCGAACGTCGGCGGCCGGCGATGTCTGGACTCCGTCTCTGCCGCCGGCCCGGGTTCCCAGACGCACGATGCCCTCCGGGACGAACGCCTCCCCCTGCACCAAAATTAATTCCAGCAGCGGATAATTCTCGGTGAAAAAGGATCAAACTTTTGGAAAGGCGGCGCGGTCAACTCACTCGATTCTTACGGAAATCGACCCAAAGTCAGAGTTCAAGTTCAGACAGGGAGGATGAAAGAAAAAAGGTGGCACCTTTCCAATGTCGCCGACGACGGAGATCTCCTGCTCGTTCTTGCTGCCCTCGGCGAACATGCAGAGATCGAGCATCCCCCGCGCGCCGTTGTCAAACTCTACTATCACAAATGCGTTGTCGATGATATCTGGGACCTGTCCCCTCGCAACGTTGACTTAATATTGCAAAAACCTCTCTCTCTCTCTCTGGATATATGTATATGTGTGTGTGAGGGCGTTGACTTAAAATCGCAGGGATGGGTTTTATCAGTCTTGGTGATTGCCCCACCTTCCCGTCGTAGACTTCATCCTTGTGGTTGACGTCGATGGCGCCGGAGGCCATGACGCGGACGGGATCCGCCGCCGCGAAGAGCCGCATGAGGTCGAAGAAGTGGCAGCACTTCTCCACCAGCGTCCCCCCGGTGTTGGCATTGAATCTGTTCCAGTTCTCGACCTGGGCGGAGTCAACCCCCGCGACTGAAAGTCAGAGCTGATGGAGAGAGAGAGAGAGAGAGAGGGGAAGACGGAGGGAGGGAGGGAGAACCTTGACTAGAAATGGGAATCGATGCTCGCGGATGGCCACCATCTTCACCTTCCCGATCTCGCCGCTGTTGACCACTTGGAGGAGCTTGGCGACAGGGGGCATGAATCTGTACTCCAGACCCACGTGGACGAGCACCTCCGGCCTCGCCTTCGCTGCCGCCATGATCTGAAACAGCAAAAAGCAGGGTGAGCAAGAAGAAGAAGAAGAAGATGACGAAGACGAAGAAGGGATACCTCTTTGCAGTGGTGGACGGTGGTGCAAAGGGGCTTTTCGACGAGAACGTGGTGTGCCCTCGGGTGGCGGAGGATGTCCATGAGGATGCCGAAATGGGTCATGTTTGGCGACGAGACCACCACCACGTCGCAGAGCCCGCTCTCCAACAGCTCCCCGTGGCTGGAGAAGACCTTCCTTCCCCAAACAGAAACCAAAATCCCTCATCAAACTCAGAAACACAGAGATAAAAAATAGAGAGAAACTAGATAGAGAAAAGAGAGGGGTGGAGACCTTGAGGGGCCGACCGAGGGAGGAGGCGAGGTCAAGGGCGGCGGCGCGGGAGAGCGGGTGGGGATCGGCGACGCAGGTGACGGCGGCGCTGCCGCCGGGGAGATGGGAGATGTTGAGCATATGCTCCCGACCCATCATCCCTGCTCCGACGATCCCGTACCTGATCGCCGCCATCGCCTCGGCTGCTCCTCCTCCACTCCTTGCCCGCTTCACAGGATGAGAACTCACTCGCAGGCGACCCCTTTCTCTAGGAGAATATTCAGACCTCGCCAGGTTCTTACGTCACGGTATTGAGAGAGAGAGAGAGAGAGGATAGATAGTCCCTTCAACGAGCAAATTGGGGCGCATAGATCGAGCCGGAGGAGCTTCAGATGATAAACCATGACCGGGAATTAGGGTTCACAGCGATTCTCCAACAGAGGAATAGGGATCAAAATGGAACAAAATAAAGGTTTTTCTTTTACTATCCCTCCTCGGACCAAGCTTCACAGCCAGCTACGCTCCAGGAACTTGGGAGGAAGTTAAAAAAAAAAAAGGCACGACGAAATTCCGACACGGCAATTCGAGACGGCCGACGAGGATGGAGAGGAGGGCGGATCCGACGGCTACAACGCCCGCATCTCCAGGTTCTCGTGCTGGCCCTCGTTGGAGCTCTTATCGGTGGCGGCGGAAGGCTCGTCGGTGCCGCCGCTGGTCATCTCCTGGACGGCAGGAGGGTTGATGACGGTCATGGGCATGATCATGTCGTCGGAGAGCCGGCCGCGCATCTCCCGGTGCTCCTGGCAGATGGCGCACCAGTGCAAGCAGCAGTGGACCATGCACGGGTCGCACGGCGAGTTCTGCAGGGCACGGGGTGAAAGGCGGCGCACAGTCAGCAGAGGAGGGAAAGTCAACCATGCAGGGGGGGGGGGGGAGCATATCAGAGTTTTGTAGAGATCTCTCCAAAAGTCAAAGTCATCAATATTATATGGGTAATTTATATTCCAATTTCTGTCTGTATGTATGTATATATCTACCTATATCCTGTCTCATGGAATTGGCGAAGTCAACTCGGCAGAGTCAAAACGTGGACGGATTTAGAAAAGATAATTCCAGACTTCGGGACTCCAGTCCCAAGTAGAATGTAATCAGACCTTATGTTCTACTATATTCGCATGGCAAGAAACACGGATGAATCTGAAGAAATAATCCAAAAAAATGTATCAGATAAGCAGGAAGCATTCATGTCAGACACAGTAACCTGTAATATATATATATCTCAATCTATCTATGTATATGCATTAGGGGATGGTGAAGAGAATTAATGGCGGAGACTACCTTGAGATGGTACTTCTTCTGCAGGGACTGCCGAAACAGTCCGGTGTAGATGCCGCACATCCACCAAGTGAACAACAGGCCTTCGCCAATGAGAAACGACGTGCCGGGGTCGATGCCGTGTATCAGGGCCGTGACGGCGGCGAGGGCCATGCCGCCTTCAACAAAGATGGCGTGGCACACGCACGGCCCGGTCCAAGGGACGTCTTCCTTCATCCTCTCCACGTTCCGCCCAAAGAGCACGCACGGGCAGAATAGCCCGGTCCAACCTATCGGGAAGAAACAATTGGGCTTTAATGTGGGAAGGAAAAGAAAAAGAAAAAATATCAACGTCAATGCGCATATACAACCAGATCGAGTGAGCATCGAGAATGTTTCAATGGTTTGTCTGAATCTGAAAGCAAACAAGATGGCCCTTCCTGACTTGGAAACAGGAATCCAGACGAACAAGGAGATAGAGATAGAGAGATAGAGAGAGAGAGAGAGAGAGAGAGAGAGAGAGAGAGAGAGAGAAGGTGTAGATATAAGTGGGTGGGTGCTCCTGCAACTTGGCACAAGAATCGTAGATGCTGTTCCTCAGGCATGTAACATGAATGAGGAAATAAGGTTACGTGATGACATGTTAAGGTTCAATAATCAGCTGTACTGTTCAAAAATCGTTGATAAAAATACACACCATGTATCTCGATCAAGGACTGGAAGTCTGTTTGAACAGCAGAGTTTTCTTTCTTATTCTACTTTAAGTCCAGATTTTTCACCACAATATTCTGGGCATGCACAATTTTTAGCCTATGATAGAATTGCTGGTGTATCTCAGCTCTTCCTCAAAAACAAAAAACCATTGGGATCACAGAAACATTGGCTCACATGAGAAGAATTTGTTTCCTAGTGACTAAACTTCCGCTGGCTCACCAATCATAGCTGAGATGAAGTCCAAAACAACCTAATCATTGTCTCCTTTCTTTCCATCCGGTTCTTCCCTTATTCATGTTTTCCTTTCTCCTAAACTTGACCAGGCACGAGAGTCTGCTCTATCTTTGTTGTTTTTGACTTAAGGATGCATATATTGACCCAGAACAGGGAGCTAGCCCGATTGAAACGTCTTTATACCATAGACCAACAGATCGTGAGGCAAATATCATAGCGTGATATGATTTGGCAGCCAGATTAAGCTCCCGAATATCAGCTTTCCAGTCTAAAAATTTCAATTCCGGAAACATCAATGTCCTACTTCACAAGTCCAGTTTCCTCCCTACTCTATGCCTCTGAAGCCATTAATTAGATATAAAATTTCGTAGTCCAAATCATGGATAGTGATGAAAATCAATCAGACCTCAATGATATCGACGAAAAAATCGGAAATTAGTGACAATCATGAAATAAGACCTCAAGTTGATCAGTGACCTTGAAGCGTCACAGAAAATGGATAGCTAATGAATGGCTGCAAACGAAATTGAAGCCTAAGTGGGGCTTGTGCGTGACCAAATCATGTGCCCGAAAATAATATCCGGAAAGGATAAGATTATTCCCCCGGATTATATTATTTTGATCTTATTAGAGATGAAGTGTGCAAAATAAAAGTTCTGCGTATAAATAAAACATGGTTGCTAGCACTGAAAGCTTTCTTCTGTGCAAAAGGGGAATGGATTTGTCAATTCTTTCTGGTGTAGGGGGAAATGGGGACAGGGAAGACAGAGAGAGAGAGAATGTATGGATCATTGGTTGAATCACATGGAATCAATTTTACATGCAACGAACCGTATCAAATGTGCACGGACACTAACACACGGAGAATCAGACCCAATCAAAATCATTTATAAGGTTCTCTGCATGTATATTTTAACCCATCAAGATAGTTTTTCTTCTAACAGAGATTCTGGTCACTTGTTCCGATGCCAAAAGACTCTTTTAAGACTAATTATAAGCAAGCTTTACTACTCTTCCAACGAATTGTTTTTATCAGATGAAGATCTGACGGTCACCGCAATTAGTCGGCACTTACAACTATCAGTGTCTTCAGCACAGCCGAAAATCCCGCTAGTCCACGGCTCATCAGCTGGAGGCGAGTAGCTTTCCGGAAGGGGCTGTCCACACTCGTTGCATTTGTGAACGGCCAACTGTCCAAGAAAACAATCGCGGTCGCAGCCTCAGTGATAAGCTAAGAAATGCTTACCAAAAAATGCTAGCGAAAGTGCAACAAATCTGGCGGATACAAATCTCAGCTGACACCCTGGAGAAAAAAAGTCACGTCGATGATCCAATAACAGTGAAATCGCGAGCACATGGGAATCGGTGTTGCGAGAAGACGAGAGCAAAAACAAATCCACGAAACACAGAAATCCAGCCGTAGACAAACGACGAGGAGATCAAGGTTCCAAGAAAGAGAAATCCGGCAACCTGAGGGACCTCCACAGGCTGGTTCAGCTCCCCAGGGCGAATCTCCTCCGCCGGGGCATCATGATCCTTGGTCAGCTTCACGTACCGCGAGGTCACCGTGTCTTCCGCCATATCTACCTCCCCCACACAAAAGCAGCTGATCCCCTAGTCCAGATCTCCTCCCTCGCCCCCCCAGTCCACAGGGAAAATCCGCTCACTCGAGAGAGATCTTATGATCTACAGAACTTCTCCCATAGATCTGGAACAAATTCCACAGCAGATCTACGAGGGATGCCAACGGGGGACGGCTCCCCGCGGGCAGTCGCAGAAGAAAGAGGGGCAATCGAGAGAGTTTCCGCGTAGTCCGCGACGGGCCAACGTACCCGGACGACACTTCAATGCTTCTGCCTTGTAACCTTCCTCCTTGACACGGAGATGAGAGAGAGACAGAAATAGAGAGAGAGAAAAAAGATATATATATATAGCGAGAGAGAGAGAGAGAGGAAAACTCCCCCCGTCTTATCACGCACGGATCGTCAACGAACGGGCCAGGCCGGGCCCGTCCTCCCAATCATACAAGCCCATACTCGGCCCGTAGGAAAAGCCCGGCCTTGAAGCCCGTACGAGGAGAGAGAGAGAGAGAGAGAGAGAGAGGTTGTACCGGCAATAGAGACACCTGATTGCAGTTGACGTTTATAAAATTTATATAAATCTGATGACCAAAAAAATTATGTACATTGAATAAAAATGAAAGCTTTTGAGCTAAAAATTTACAAGGAACGAAGCAAAAACCTTGGGGGCATTGAATTATTACATCTTTTCATCTACAAAAAACTGGATGAGAACGACCAATAAATCCTCAAAAATTAAAAATACTCCATAAATCTAAAAAAAGGCTGAAAATAATTTAGACGCCCCTAAAAATAGGATTATTTTAAAAATTAAATTCAAAAATCCTTAAAATAGGATAATTAAAAATAATAATAAGGCTTTTTTCAGAACGGCTGACCGCTTTTCTTATTCCATATTAGTATGTAAGCTCGGATCATTCAAATGGATGTCACATGATTTTTTTCTTGATTCGGGGAGAAAGAAAAGCCAATAAACGCCACATTAAACGTGATAACGTAGAGCCTCAACCATAGGAATTACATTAAATGAGACCAATAAATAGGCCTCATCAAGTCTTCTCCCACCACCTTGCCTTCCATACGACGCGGATTCGTCCTGGGCCCAAGAAGAGTTGAAAAATTGATCTTATGCCACCATATACATATCTGTATATATATATATATATATATATGGAGAGAGAGAGAGAGAGAGAGAGAGAGAGAGAGAGAGAGAGAGAGAGAGAGAGAGAGAGAGAAGCTTAGCCCACCGCCCGTTAATGCAAATTATTGATGTAATATTGATTAAAAAATTAAAGTGGATCAAACAGAGGCTGGAGCTAATTATTTCTACAGAATATGAAGAAGAAAACTAATTAAGAATCAGAGAAATTCCCATTATTTTATCTCAACTTTTCTAATAAAAACACTTAATATCTGGCCCTGCTTCTGTTTCCCAAAGTCACCAGAGAGAAGATCCATGCCCAGATCACAAGATCTGTTGACTGTCTAGCGATTTCTACATCAACAAAATCCATCTACTTGAATCACTTTCATTCCATCAGTTGTCTGTAATAGAAAAAACTTATATTTTTCAGATCTGATGAAAAATCTCGGGTTCCCATGGAAGTCATTTATATCGCCAAAGATTACTGAAGCCAGCAGGACCAGGGGTTTGATCAGTTCTAGCTTCCCAGTCTCTTTCTTGTGCTTGATAGATTCTGCATCAATTCACAGGGTTCATCTAAAAACAGAAACCCCTTTGATGAACAGGTCAGTGGCTTGTGCAATTTTTTTTCCTAGAATGCCTACGAGATGAGCAAGATCATTGAACATGAACCAAAGTACATGATAATCTGCACAGAATGAACCAACAGAAATAAATTAAATCCATATGACCCATGATCCTAAAACTGATGATTTCTGAGATAACGTTGAAATTAATCTTATTTTTAAAAAAAAGAAAGATCCTGGAAGAGTTGGAGATCCATGATATGACGTCAGTGGCTTCTCGTTAGGTGTTAAGTCACAGTCCAACGCCAATCCTAAGTATGTCACTTAAACAGCGTAAAACATAAAATAAACAGCCTCCTCCAAATGAAATATCGGGCACAGGAATTTATTTCCCCCGTAATCCCATCATGGAAGAGCATGTTAGTGAATGGGAAGCAGATGATGACTCTCATGATCTCCATTACTAAGCAATCTAATGGGAGGATTGAGCATTTGTAGCACATCAATATATCATAGGCAAAATCCAAAACCAGCCTGGGAGGGAATTTCAGCCACTCGGCCATTCAAAGGTGTGTTGCTTATTTTAGGAAGAAACATAGGAAACTGATAAGAGATTCACATTATGTTCTGATGAAAATAATGGGTAATGGGCTACACAGTAACTGGGGCAGCCACTCATTTGAAAGTTTCCAGTGACAGTAGAAAAAGGGATTCAATTAAAAAAGGAATCCAGGATCATAAAGGAAATATCAAAGTTGACTAAAACCATCATGGATGGGTCCCAACCAGAGCGAAAGATCCGGACCCTAAAGGGACGAACTGAAAATAATATGACAATGATAGTCCAGGCTCCGGATTTGGTCAACCATTTGGGCGATGTAGAGCATAATCTCAAAAGGAACCTTTTAGAATTAATCCGCAGAGACCAAAAGAAAGATCAGATGAACTGCTGAAAAGCAGTTATTTTCAAGTGTTTTGCTACAATCTAGAGCAATTTTCTTGAGAAAATAGAGCGAGGGAGGAGGGAGGAAGCGGAATCATGAAGCAATTTCCCGGCAACTCCTCTATATCTGCATATGAAAACCAAAAATTATGAACGGCTTCAAACCCCCTCTGCTTCGTTCTCCGGTCAAATACTGCAGAAACCTCACACAATTAACGGCAGAGGAGGCTTGACGATGCAGATAAAAGGTTGTCCCGCTCCCTCTAGATCACTGCTCTGTTCCTGGATAAGATGAACAAGGACCAGAATAGGAGATCAGGAACAATGTCACAAGTCCGAGGCGACGGAAATCTCCCTTTACGTGAAAATAAAGGGAGAGGAAATCACCTACGTCTGCTTGGAGAAATAAGAACTCGACGAAGGGGACCGCTTGTTGCGAAACATCATGTAGCCGAGTGGGAGCACCACCCCCACCACCATAATCACAGCTCCGACGAGGTACCTCAGGAGACCCGGCGGCTCCACCTCCATTAGCCGCCGCAATCGGAGACGAGGAAGAGCAGGCGACAAGCGAGGTCAGACCCCACCGGTATTGTTCCACCGACCGGATCGGGCAGAAACCCGAAAGGAAACAAGGGATTTCTGAAGGGATCTAATCAAAAGACGAACATACTCTACTCCACCTCCACCCTACTGCATCGGTCGTCGGATGGAAATAACTGTGGATCTGTCGAGAGGGGGGCGAGGCCCACGAGGCCTCTCCGGTGGTGGCAGTCAAAACTCACAAGAAGTGGACGACATCAGACTCGCCGGGCCTCCTGCTTCGCCGCTGCCTTCCCCCGGCGAGAATTACGCAGCGGATCTCCGGTGCCCCTGCATCGTCTTCCGCGGGATTTCCCTCTCTCTCTCTCTCTCTCTCTCTCTCTCTCTCTCTCTCTCTCTCCTCTGATAGCTATGAATGAAAGGTTGTTGGTCCATATGGGCTTTCAGGGTTGGGCTTGAAGAGAAATCACATTTCCAAGCTTCATTTTGGGCTCAGACAGGCCCAAATCAAATTGACAACGGAGAGGTCGCAACCACAAGTAGAAAGAACCGACGGCCAAGGAGCCTCTTTGTTTGCAGGCCTTCATTGCCGGGTTGGGCCTGCTTTCGATTTCTTAATCATTTTATGACCCATGTCTTAAAAAATGGCCACGCAGCATAAACAGTCGTTTCTGAATTTCTTGGGCATCCAAATAATTCAATCTGACCCATATGAATACCATTCTCATTCATTATTATTATTATTATTACTATTACTATGCAGTGGTGGACATTAGTTTCATAAAAGTTCTCCCATTCTTCTGAGATCATTCAAAATAATTCTCAGTGTCTCTCCAAGAGTATCAGATCTATTTGCATGGCCTGATCTTTTGACTTTTGGGTCAATGACCAATATCCATGAGATAAGAGTCTAATGGGGGGTGTAGATGGTTTTCCAATAGGGAATTTCATTATCCTATTCGGGTATATTACTTTTTTTACATTTTTTTAGTCATTCAAGTTTCGTCATTAATAACTATATTCTTTGAATTTAATCTGGGCTCCAATGTTTGCATGCTACATCAGTTTTCTATTGATTTAATGATAATTTAATTAAATGTGTCCCTCCACTCAACTTCTTTGGCTTTCTAAAGACACCATAAGTTCATCTCACTTCCAAATTTTCTAGGCTTCCTAGAGCCCTTCTAGCTTCGCTCTATGTGAATCTAAGATTCCCCCCTCCTTGGCATTGTCCTGAGTTGAAACTATTTATTTCTTTCTCCTTGAAGATTGTAGGAATAGCTTGCATCATTGTGGTTCACTTTAATTGTTTTTAATAAAGTCTCAATCTTTTTCTCACATGTTATTTACCTCACAAAAATTTCACTATCATTAATATGATTTGAATCTTTATTGAAGCTAGTGCCATTTATTTCAGATTATTCAAATGCTTTGACAAAATCTCATAACACAACTAGATAGAAAAGAGAAGATTACTATTGTGAAGAGGGTGAAAACACACTAGTCATGCTCTATAGAGCAAACCTAGAGCTGAAGAGTCTCTAATTTCTCATTCATTCTTTGTGTGAGAGATTGCATTCTATAAGGCCTTAATTTTATATAAATATACTCCCATATCACATATGTTATCTCTTTCTTCTTTTTGTCTATTTGGCCCTTTATTCTGAATTATGATTGTACTAGTTGATATTACAATGTGTCTACTATGATGTCTCTTTCTTAGAACTGATCTAATTATTACTTTTTTTTCTGTTTGTATTCCATAACTTAATTGTGTTGAGTCATGACCAAACATCATTTTAAAGGTGGTGTCAGTAGAAGTAGAAAAAATAATGTTATATCAATGTTCCACTCATGGTAGTCAAAAAATCTAATGTTTCTATTTATTGGAAAAGGAAAATAGTAGTGGTATGTCTTTAGACACCGATTGACTACTTCAATTTGTTAGTTCTTTTGGAGATGTTAAGTTCTGTTATGCTTTAATTGTGCTCACTATGATTCAAAAATCTATCACAAGAGAAAATTTAAAATGCTTTACTATGGTTGGTTGTGATGAATTTTGAAATATTGCTAAGACAATCTCTAAAGTGAATATTTCAAGTATTACTTTAGTTTGTGTAGGAATGCTTGACCAGTATGAAATGTGTATATTTACTCAATTAACCAACCATCACCATGATAAAATTATGACATTTTGATTAGAACTTTTTTTCAAAAAAGTTCATAAATATGCCCTACTAAATATAATTTCAGATGATTATGATTAGAAGAGTCCTGCTAGTGATAATATTTTTAACTTTGTTTTGATCATAAATTCAGTACTCTACTACATGTTACTATATGTGTTACTTCATCTTGATCAAAGAGACATCTTAATTTACACACTTTAGGTTCTATAAAATCCTAAGTAACCATCCAATATGTTATTGTTGCACTCTCTTAATATTTTAAGGACTAAACTTCAGTAAGACATATCTATATGTTGTTATAAAATAAATGTCTTTTCTAAAATGAGTATTTAGGCCATGTCTCTTACCCCTACACTAATTCTTGTCTTATTCCTGCAAATTTTGAATCTGCTTTTAGTTCATAAGCTATTTTTTATTATCCAGCACATGAACATTATATATAGTAGATACTTGGACTTATATGTTCTAAAGAGTTCTTGATATTGTGGTTAGACTTCTTGTTGTTTCAACATGAACATTAGATTATACTACTCAATTAATATTATGATTTTTTGTCCAAAAAAATAGTGTTTCTATTTCTAAATTTTTAAAATAATTTTTCATTAATTAGTTTTTATGCATCATGTTTAGTTCTTTGTTAATAGAAAACTTAAGTAGTAGGGCAACGTGTTGCATAAGAATGCCCTCAATCCCTACCTTAAGACATCTATCTCATCTCAAAGGGTTGTGAGAAATTTGATAAGAAAGTTATTACTATAATTGTTGTGACTATCTTAAGTTCATGAAAAAAAAAATTATCTCTTCATTCCATTGGAAGGAATCTTTATTAGGTTGTAAGCTTAATAGTCACAAGATTGCTTCATGGTTTGTGATGAACCCTTGATAGTACCCTATGAGATCTAAAAATTCATAAGGCTTCCTTAGATTGATCAAGATTAGTCACTTGAGTATGACCTCTATTTTCTTCTACCTCCACTTGAATTGACAAACTTTAATCACCAAGATACTTAACAATGTTGCTTTGTTGTTGTACTAAGATGCACTTCTTTGTATTAATTAGTAATTTATATTTTGATAATGTTACAAGTACCTAATTTAAGTGTTGGTCGTGTGTGAATTTGTCTTTATTATAAATCAAGATTTTGTTGAAGAACATTAATTTAAATTTGTAAAGATATAGTCAAAATATTTGGTTTATTAATAATTGAAATGTAGTTGGGACAGTGGTAAACCCAAAGGACATCATCATAAATAATTTGTGCCTCTCATAGGTTATGAAAGTTATATTTGATATATCCTTAGCCCTCATTTGGATTTAGTGATACTTCCATTTTATGTCAAGTTTGGAGAATATTAGATATGCATAGGGTATATCTAGAAGTTCATTGATCACAAGGTGAGAAATTTGTTCAATATTATTTTTTGGTTGTCTTGTAGTTCACACAAAATTGTCAACTTCTATTTTTTTTCTTAATTAATAACAATAGGCTAGCTTATGTGTTGGTCAATGGTTGGATAATCTTTACCTCACACATATCTCACACTTTATTTCATTCTTGTAGAAGTGAGGATAATGATAGGGTCAAACATTAATAAGTTTAATATCAAGCTCTGAACAAATAGCATGATCAATGTCTCAATATGGGTCGATCCATGGATGGTTTAAAATATCAACAAATTTGCCTATGAGATGATGTACCATTATTATTAGGGGTGTTGTGATTCCAACCTCTATTTTTGGATGTCTATGACAAAATTTTATAATTATTTCTTACATTGTTATATTTTTATAGTGAATGACTTCAAAGAGATATTCAATTTTCCCAAACTTAAGTTTTTTTAATATTATCAAAGTAGTTTCTATAATAAACCACATATTCAACTATTCTCAATTGTTCACCATAGTTCCTTCCATTTTCAATCATTTTATTATGAGGATCGTGTCAATGTTGTACAAGTGTAGAGGTAAGGTAGTCTTTGAGTATTATACTTTCTTACATTTTCATGATGAGTCTTTTAAAAATGTATTTATTTTCATAATTAAGTCATTTAGCATCACCACTCCATAGTTATTATTCCCAAAGGTATTTGTAGTAAAAGTATTATTTAAAAGTTGAGTCATCTTTTGATACATTTACATTAAACATTATGGTTGCTGATAAGTCTTCATTATTATGAGTTAATAATTAATAAATAATATAGTTTTAGTCTTAACTCATGATAAATAGACTTATAGTTGTGTTAAAGTGTGAAAAGTGGTTTTTAGTTGATTAACGTGAATTTTTGGGTAATTATGTGATTTTATACAAATTTATATAATTTTTACAGTCTTACTTTTGAGATAAATGAAAAAAAAGAAATAAAAATAAAAATATAGCAAAATGAGGGAGACCCGCCGGCCAACCGGACCTACAAGCAGGTCGGAAGCACAGTCAGAGAAGAGCTGCGAGCAAGGCTCGAGTGGCTAGGACTGATAGGGGCATGTGTGCACCACTCCCTTTCCACATCACCGGTGGCTAGTCGGCTGTGGAGCAAGGAGTGGTCGCACACTCGGGAGAAAGGAACTTGATTGCAAATGTAATATTACTATATATTCACCCGAAACTTCAGCGCACAAGTGATGTGAGACTAAACTCGTGTCACACCTTCCCTAGAAGGCTTCGATGATTTTAATTCCTACAATACCCCTTATTTATAATAGAGATATACCATGATGATGTCATTTTATAAGGGCATTAAAGTACTTATGTTAATGTCTCTCATGCAAGCAGGCAACTAGCGTGGGTTCAAATCCTCCCA